AAAAAAAAAACGAATCTCAACTCGCGTCAACCAATCATAGTCGAGCAACGACGTTTCATCTTACTTTGAGGGACGTTTCATTGTTTTGTTTGACATTTTGTATGTCTTCTGCGAAACAAATGTTCCAGGATAGGATGGTCCTTTTCAGTGGAAAATAAATTAGTTCGATGATATTATCATCGCACGGTTTCGATAGCGATACCCAAATGCAAATAACTTGATCTGGTAGAAACACTAATTGAATGCAAAATATTTCAGTGGTAATAAGTGAACTGTTCGAGGTGCGTAAAGGATACAGCACTGACAATCTGAAGCAATCAGCCACAAAACTGAAGTTCCGTAAGGCTGCATCGGTGTGTTTTGATCAATCAGCATTGAACATTTCACAGTAGTCTATCAAAAAACAACATACTTTGCCGTGCCTTTGCAGTGCAGCATTTGCATGACAATAATTCGAGACGCATTCTCAACTCAATCATCCTGTTGAATAAAGCGAACCATTAAAAACAACCTTTACATAACAATTTTTGTTGTGTTTTAATCAAAAATNAGGTGGTTAAAGATGCGCTTTTCGAAACAGTGAATTTCCATCAGCAGCTAATTATTAACTGGAATTTTTCCTACTCCTATGCACTCAATTATTGTGTTTGTCTCCAATGCTGCTTCACAAGGAGGCAAAACAACACATCATTGATGCTTTTTATTTCAGAGTCATAGCTAATAGTTGCACTTGTAACATTTGTTTATCCTCAAAACTTTTTAGGAGGATATGTGTTTTTCGGTGGTATTCACAAAAACTGAATTTCTTCACAAATCTGTTGACTTTATCGCAGATTCGACAGAAACACGTAACAAATTCTTTAACGCTTTAGAATATTTGATAAATAATAAAAAGAAAGAACGTCTTTTCTTCGATGAAAAGTGCTGGCTGAAAGAGAAATTCAAATTGGCTGATACAAATAAGAACGGTGAGTAAGAGCTTATGTTGACACTTCCATCTGTTCATTGACAAGATTATGAATCGACTGTCTAAGACACAGTAGTTACCAATGAGCATAGGATCTACCTATCTTCACCGATAAATCTTGATGAATATTTAAGCAAAAAGAGCTGTTTCTAGAAACAGACTCTAACACTGCTTATTGAATCTGCTTTCGTGTAACAACTTGAGCTGAGACAGATCAAGGAGGCTCGGTGAATA